AAATTCATACCAATATGTATTCATATTATAATAGTGGAATATTGTACGCACGTCACACACAAAAATTTAGTTGATAATTGAATTAATTGATCGTGTATTTGTGTTATACGATATAATTATTATGCTTATATATTAATGTTTAGATCATTTTTTAGCTACCTTTATCGAACAAGAGAAATTTGAAAGTCTAGCAGCCCAAATCTGTTTTTAGAGATGAATCAATTGAGTATTATTTATATAAAAATGGAATAACTAATAGTAAAGCTGTCTTGGTCTCGTACATGTTTTTAAAAATAATTTATTAAGTCGTCAAATACATGGCAATATATTAAAGTACTCAAAATCGAAAAAACTATAAAGTGTTTATCAACATTATATATGAACTAAATAAATATGAATACACTTACTTATACGAAATAAACGAAAAATAAAACTGGTATACTTAAACACATAATAAATACTATTATAATACTATTATATTCACGAGTTATAAGGAGACAGAAAATAACAATAATTTTTAATAGGTATTCATGGGTATATCTACCCATTCGAATATGAATAAACTATACGCTCCGATCACTCCGATCGTTGGTAGGTACATACGTTATTACGAGTTTAAAAAAAGCAAAACCTAATAGCCTCAACGATTAAGCGGAGAAAAATTATATTCGCGCACAAAATAGTTATCATCAATATCTATGTGTAAAGTAATGTTAAGTAACTAGTAAGTACACCTATAGGCACCTAATAAACGCTTATTACCTTATGGCCTATGTTGAAATTTACCTTGACAATCTAAACTTCGAACACAAAAGACAAAACTTACGGGCATATTCATATAAAAAAAAAATAAAGTTAACTTATTTGGGATCGTCGACTAGAAATAATAGAAAAACAGTTTTTTATGTATATATATTTTGTAACAAAAAGTATTTTGTTTGTAATTTTTGGAGTTATTGTAACTATTAGACAATAATATGTTCTTAAAAATGTAAAATAATTCAGTACCCAATTATTTCTTATTATTTTGAAGTCAATTTGAGTTGTTTTAGATTTTGAGTGTAGCGAGAAATGTATTAGTTTTACAATGATGTTCATTTTTTTTAATTTTTTTTTTTTCTTGAATCTGTGAATAACTTTTTCAAGTATAACACTTTTTATGAAAGGAAAATGAACTGGGGTAGTATTTATAGAAGGTAAGTTTTTAATTTTCTTAAGAGTTTTCATAATACATAGGAAAAACAGAGAAAATGTACGTAATGTATTATTTTCAAATCGTAAATATTACGGCCTTTCAAAACATGTTCTGAACTCCGCTCAGAATGGTTTTTCGTATATACATATATACATTAAATTTTCCCACTACCTTCTCAACTTCTCTCATACAACAGTAGCCCACCCATCGTGCGCAGTATATCCAGTTTTTTTTTTTTTTGTTTAAATATTTATCTATATTATAATAATATGTATCAGCTCTTATTTATATAGACATGTACATTGTGTATTGTGTATATTATATCCGGTAGTGAAATGGGATGATTTGAGGTGGGGTTTGAGATCGCGTAAAGTGATGGTAGGGACGAAAGGTCGTACGCCCTTTATTATCAGCACTACCTACCGTTTAGTTTACAATGAATCGTTTGACGGGTTCGACGGGTGTTTTTTTTAATAGGGGAGGAGCTTTTGGCAAAGAGCATCCAATGATTTTTTTTTTAATACTAATTGGTACCTATGCCCACAAAAGTACGCTGGAGTTTCATGATTTAAAAAAAAACTAAATAAGACCACGATATACCTATACGTTGCATTTGTTTATAATTATAAACAATGTATTATTCGTAACGTAGAAATTCTGAAACGTTTTTATTTATTCGCCGATAAACGGAAAATAATAATAATGAATGTATACTATATACATGAATGAAAATTATTATATTACTATAAAATATAATCAACTTTAAAGTCGTTATAAATAGTATTCGTAATGCACCTACGTATTCACAAGTAATTCAACTGGTTTTTTTTTTTTTTTATTAGCTACCTAACTTAGATTCCAAGCAAATGTATGAAATGTTGCAGATCTTATTTTGATGTGTTTTTTGTGTTTCTGTAAATAACTTTTCTATCAGAAATATTGCTTCAATCAAAAACTTTATAGAAACTTTCTTGTAGATTTTGTGATTAAGTTGATGAATTGAATATGGCATTTTGTAATTCTTTTGATTTCCGAAGTAGTTTTCCTAATCAGTTGAAAGAACTGAAACTATTTTTGTACATTTTGTGTTTATCTCTGAGTTACTTTGGCAACATGGGAAAAAATATAATTAATTACATTCTGTTCGGAATCGTTTTTTGTTAGCAATGGTGTATTGTTACATACAGATATAAATTAAATTACTCTTTATATTCTGAATCCTCCCTTCTGAGTTCTCTTCTAAAACAGTAGTACACCCATCAGCATATTATAATAACATTAAATTATATTGTTAAAAATTAAAAATTAATTTTTTTTTTTTTTGTTTTGTTACCTAGGTTATATAGATATTGTTTACAACCACGTTTAATCGTTCACATAACATAATATTTTTAACTTCCCAAAATAGGTTGCCAAGATTCTCCCCCACTCCTGGCGATTTGGAGGTAAAGGAGGTAACGAGTAATCTGCTGCGGTTTTATCGTGGTAGTTCATACATAAGAATAATGTTACGTAGGCATACTATATTTTACAGGTATTTTTCTCTCTCGCACACATAGTCTTTCTCGTGAAAACTCGTGTTAAAAACTAGAATTGACATTATTTATTTTCGGTTAACCGTATCTAATACCTACAGTAAATACCGTAACATCATTATTTTAATAGATATACCCGTCACACCGATAAACCGCTTAACACCTGTATGAAAATCGATTCCGCCTTGGTATATATATTATATTATTTTATGGTATATATAATATCAATTTCAACCATCGTCAGCAGCTCTACGGCTATAATAATATATTATATTATTAGGTATTATAAACTTAAACGAACGATTTCACAAATTAAGCACTTTTATATAAATCGTTGGAAATAATAAAGATACTACACGTAACTACACTTTTGCTACAGGTTAGATTTATTTTACGAAATAGGTTAATAAATTAGATTCCATGATAATAATTGAATTCGAACAAATTGTATTCGCTTATGTACCATAAATTTTATAAATATTATAAATTATAATTTATTTCAATGCAGTTGTGTGCATTTGTACTGGTTCAACTAGAGATTTCGATTGAAAATGAGATGTACTTGCGTATAGTATTAATACACGTGAATCTACTATCCGGGTTCACGCGTTTTAGTGTTATTGGCGGAAAACTTCTGTTTAGTAACTTGTTCGTCACAAACGGAAAAAAAAACCACTCGCAAAACATCACAGTAAAACTAGTACATTCTTCTCTACGCTCAGAAAGATCTGAAAAATAAAAATTGATAGTTCCTGGTATTACTGGTATACTGAGCTTCCGAAATTATTTACTACCTATACCTAACTAATAATAATGGACACATTTTGCAACCACATTATTATTATTATTATTATTATTATTATTATTATATAACGACATCGTTATTTTATAAATTGAACGTTACGTCCATACCGTCATAACTATTTCACCTGAACAAAATATTACCCATCATCAGTCTTTCTACTGGAAATTTAAACACTTTGAAATATTATATATATATACATTTTTTTTAGAATAATATGCTTTATAACAGTATAAGTAATATAAGTGTAGTGTAAACAAAATATAATAACAACGGCGGCCGAAGTTAGGTGAGAATTAGAAAAATAGTACACGCGCGCGACGATCGAACGGAACAAAATGGTCCGGAAATAAACGAGTGGAAAAAAAAAAATTATTATTATTATCATTACTAATTTGTAATTCGAAACAATCGATGCGCGCTCAGCGTTATAATACAATATTATAATATTATTATTATTATTATCGTATATATATATACAGCTAGTCGGAGTTGTTTTTTTTTAAATTTTTTTTTTGTCAAGCCGACTTTTTTCCCCCGTTAAAAAAAAAACGCGCGAAGGTAAAAAAAAGGTAAAAACAACACACCTAAACTGTTTTCGTCGTATTATTATTACATATTCGTTTTAGGCACGGTGTAAATTTTGAGGATGAAAAAAAAAAGCAAAGGAAAAATAAAATAATAATCCTAATCAGCACATAATATTATTGTAGTATGAAATGTAATTCCGCGGCAGGCGAAAATCCACGCGGACAGACGGCCAAACACGCGCCGCGCCGCGCGCGCGAACCGTCGTCGTCGCCGCCGCCGCATCAGACACAATCGCGCAAAAACAAACAATTAAAAACCAGATTATAGGTAGTTCTCCGATGACGGAGTGGTGTCTCCGCCCATCCCGTAGATAATATGTACGCCGCGCGTACATGAAAAATTTGCCTTCGCGTGAAGAAATCTAAAAAAATATTAAAAAAAAATATATCCACTCTCTTCCTGACTTCCTCAGACCCGTACGCCACAACGTATACCGCGCCGCCGTCGTCGGGCGCCGTTATGTAGGTCACACGTTCTCATCAATTGACACCGGCCGAGCCGAGGCCCGTCGAAATATTATTATATTATATTATCATTATAAGCGATTTGATAACTTAGTAATTTATACTTTATTGTTATGTACGTATAGGTACCAAAACCATAACCGTACATATACTATATTATTATTATAATTCGGAGGCCTTTTCTGGGATTGAGCGTACGCACGCACGCGACATTCACCGCAATGTCGTTCAGTGAACCGTCCGTTTTTTTTTTTTTTTTTTTTTTTTTTTTTTTTTTGTTTTTTTTTTTTCTACAGTCCGTATATACAAAACATTGCAGTAGCAAAACGAACGCGGTAGTTTCTCAATTTTGTTTTATTATACATTAGAGATGGACGCAGGATGCTCAGTATGAAAAATCTACTAAAATCGGGGGTCGCAATAACGTATAGGTATAATATGGTAGGTACAGTATAAAACCCTTAATTGTACACGTTTCATAAATTTTATACTCGGCGCGAATAACTTCCGCATTAACTTCTATCGAATATACGAATGATATCTACTACTATGTCAGTACATTATATGAGTATTGAAAGCGTAAAAGATTAATTAATTATCGGTATCAGTAGGTAGTTATTGAAAAAGGAAAAGAGCTGACACTGCTGATGAGTATACCACGAGAGGTTGGATACCTACGTTGAGTAATTTAATTAATATCTGTACACAACGATAAAATAATGCCAACAAAGTACGATTCTGAGCGAAACTTGGTTAAACATGTTTTGAAACGCTGTGATTTTTAAGATTTTCATCAAAATTTGAACTTTAAACTTTCAAAGCAATTGTCTTTGGTCGACATCAGCAGCGCGGACCGAATTACCCCTTTACACCGCCACCGGACACGTAGGACACGTATAGCCACCGCTGTAATACCGTAAAATTTAAAACACCTATAAATAGCTCAAAAGTTGACAGAATTTTTTGAAAATTTTACCTCGTTGATATATACGTTTATTTTTAACTAAATTACGACAAAAACCAATATTGGAAATTATAAAACGCTACATTTTTTAATTATTTTTTTTCAGTATTTTTCAAATATTAGAAAAACTTCAAGAAAAATCCAGAAATGACCGGGAAAACATTTTAGAATATGATAAGTTTTATTGCAAAACAAATATTACAAACACAATTCGTTGGCGGTGTACAAACAGAATAAGTTCTTAATAAATATTACTTCCTTTATAAGTGAAAACATGATGCTGCAATATATTATAGCCCAACAAAAGTCAAAGGTTAGTTTATGAGCAAAAAAGAAAGGACATTTTAACCGAGGAATTAAATTAGTTGGTTTGTGAGTAAAACAAATGTTGTAGTTGTAAAGTATTCGTTATAATTTGACATTTTACGAAATACAATTTTTGGTGGACTCTTATATTAATTAATATAAGATTTTGATTAATATATTATGTAGGCTTATTCGATCTCCAGGACCATTCCGTCTCACACAACCGATCCTCCAGTGGTCCATCTCCAAGGGCCCCCAAATCTTTTTTGATCTTTTCCCTAATACATCGAGTTTCGTTCCAGCACTGCCCGTGTATTGGTGTGTTTTTTCTTCTCATTCACGCATTTCCATCGCTGTAATCTTCATTTTTCAAAATATTTTCTAAAATATTATTTTCGAAGGCAAAAAATGATTATTTCGGGCAACCGAACGCGATATTTAAAACTTAAATCAAACATTGCGATCGGTTGTCGGACGACATCACGACATTCCACGCGCAATACGGTTTTTTTTCGGGTCGGTCTAATAAAATGGGAGAGAATGGGGGAAAAACCAAAACAAAATAATGGCATATATATATATATACACTGTACACATTGGACAGTATATAAGAATTGTAATTCCACTTAGTCAGCTCGTACATTTTAAAACAAAACAACCTTAAAACGTCAGAATTTTTTTTTTTTTTTAAAACACACATTGCTATAATTCCGTACGTGTATAGTGTTAATTATTATTATTCTTATTATTATACTATAATCGCGCGCGTGCGCGCGCTTCGAACTGTACGATGATATAATAAACGCGGAACAATATATAATCTTTTTTTTTAAAAATTCAATTTATTATTATTTATTTCAATAATTTTTAATTGGGCCGCGATCTTTATCAATTATAAGTATACGTAGGCACAAACACACGGGAGATCAATCTTATCAATCTTTATCGGCTATAAGTTTAAAGGAAATACAAATAACGAAATAATAATAATATTATAATACAATTATTATTATAATATAATAATAATATTATTATTAATTTGCCCTTTACAACATAATACACGGATATAATAATAATATCGTAAGCCCATTCATCCTGCAACAGAGTTATCTCGTGGCATATATACATTTTTTTTTTTTCTGATGCTTAAACAAATTTAATTACACTGCGATGACTCGGTTTTTATTCTACCGCGCGCGCGGTTTATCACTTTAGCACACATACTATAACAATAATATATAGAACACTTAAAAAATGGTTCATTTGTACACGTTGCCTACCTATTGAATAACGTTTATACACTAATCTAATTGTATATCCTAGTATTTGTGCTAAAAAAAAAAAAAAAAAAAAAAAATATGTAACAATATTTCGATTAATTATATTTTGTATAAACTGCATCATTAACGCACACACACGACCAAAAACTGTAATACAAGCGCAGGTACCGTACAGTCCTTGAAGAATTTTACGAATCACTATCAATAAAATTAGTTACTTGGTTATTATAATAATTTTTCCTCCAAACGTGTTATACTTATTTCATATTATTATAATTTATTATTTTATACACTAAAACAATAAAGGTACCCATACGAAATTATAATAATATGCAATGTTTCAGGATGGAATTTTAATTGGTATTCACCAAAAACCTTATCATGTTTCAACCTAATAAATTCGACTTATATGTGTTATTGTACCTACCTAATAACAGTTAAAACATAATGTATATTATTATTTCTACCAACAATAGTAATAGGGATAATGTGGTTGAAACACCAAATATTGGGGAAGGGGTCTGGAAAAGGGGACTGTGGAAACTTCAGTACCTATATGTAAATTATGATAGGTGTAAAGTTTAAAAAAAAGAATAAAACAAAATATGTTCTCTATAAAAGGTATGAGGTATAAAAGTCGTATGGATTCTTACATAATAGTTCTATTTAACTGTAAGTAACTAATATATATGTACTTTATATAGGTAATGTAATATGAATTCGTTTGTTTTATTTTGCTTTTTTTTTTTAATGTGTTTAAAATCTGAATAGTTGAACAGCTAGTGTATGAAAATATATGAAAATAATATAGTATAATATTAAATTTGAATATTGAATAACATTGTGAGCCAAATGTTGTCGACTCTGTTAAAATTTTGCCCTTCATGAACAAACAAAACTTCAAACAACACTATTAGCACATAATTATCCACTGTCCAATTTTCACTGATACCAGAGAAGAATACCAAATTCCAGACGACCTGTATAAAGTAATTGGACCATATGCTGATACCAAAAAAATCATCACTTTCTTAAACAAAATTGAAATGTAGAATACAATATAATCTATTCCCATGTAAACACCTTTCCTATTTCTAATAACCTAAATCCAAACTTTTATAATAATATTGTAAGCTAATAACCTTGTAGTTGATGCTGAAACAATAAAAAAAACAAAATACCTATAGTACGTTTATTTTAAAATCCTTTTTCATATATAATAATTTGGTATAGATTCCGGGAAATATTATACATACCGATTCATATCTGCGCCTATATAAGAAAATATGATATTTTTAAAATTAAAATAAACTTTACATAATATAAATAAAATTACCAATATCGTTCCGATGCCATAATTTGTTTTATTATAACGTTAAATTTTACCAAAAATGTATAATATTATAATTTTTATTTTGTTATATTATATCAGTTTTCGAATATTCCTAAATCATATAATAATATTATTATAGTCTTTCAAAAAAAAAAAAAGAAAAAAAAAAACGTTTGCTATAAAACGTACACATCACTTAAAATAACGCGTTTCCTTTTAACTATAAATATATACTTACAGATAATAGATAATATACCTACGTGTTGGTTTTTTTTCACTATTCATAAGCTTTATTATAATACTCGTGTTAAAAATCTAGCTGAATAGGCTTATATTATAATACCTATAGTAGGTGTGTTTGAATATCAAATATAAACAACATTATATACAAGTCAACGTATTGTCAACTTTGTTGAATTTTGAGAAAATAATTTATTGAATGAATGTAGTTCTACAAGACATTATTTAAATCTATTGTATATTTCATTAAATGTCATATAGAAATTTAAACATATTTTAACGATACATGTATATCACAGTGAAATTAGAACTACCAGTAGCTGAATTGTCGAAAACTAAAATTGATTATTTTTCGTGTGGAGTGTAGCTTAGAAACTTTTACTGTGTTTTTTATTATTATTATTATTATTATTATTATTTTTGTTGGTGATAGTGCTTCGATATTTTCATGCCGTACTTGAACAAAAAAAGGGAATTTTCTACTCTTAATAGTACTTTTTTAAACATTTTTCGAAATTCTTAATAATTTTTTTTCGAAAAATCATTTTCTTTTCTTTTTTTAAAAACACTACTTTTTCAGTTAAAACACTTTTTTAATTATTCGCATTGTACCTAGAAAGATGCAAATTTTTGACCCATTTTTCTAGATTTTTGACATTTTTTCTCGAGAATCAAAAACCAACAACAAATAACGATACATTGGTTTTATTTTTGTTGATTTCTGGATTATCTTATATAGGGATAAAACGTGTTACTGCTAAATTCAGAATCGTTTCTTGATTGCAATGTTTGTTTTCGGTATATAAACTAAACTATTAAACTTATTAACTATACCCTGTACATCCCTATACCCCGCCGACGTTCCATCTACAATAGTTAGTAGCCTACTTACGGTGCGATGTACAGGCCCGATTTTTATATTATCAACGTTATTGTTGTATTTGCTAATATTCGAACATTGGAATTATACGTTCGGACGACTTTGGTTTGGCTTTATTACAATCAAAAAATAAAAATAATATTTTGTTATTGACATTATGTGCAGTGTAAATATAGTTTACGTGTATGCCCGTCGACGACGTTTCGTTTATAATATTATTCGTTCTATTTAACATCATTATCGCATAATCGCAATAGCCCTTATAGACGTGAATAGGTTTGTTCTAATTCCGCCTAAACGAGAGAAAAAAAAACGTTACTGATAAAGCTGGAAATAATATCATAACGATGTCTTCTCTACGTATATGTACACACACACAACACACACACACACACACACACACACACATTCATATATGTCAAACAACCATCACGTGTATAGATCGTAAAATGACGCGCGTACTTCACACACCGCGCGCGCTAGCTCGCTCGCGTAACGAAAACCGAAAATATTCAATCATGAGTCTTGATTTTCGTTCAACGTTTAAAATCTATAACGAAACGAATTATATTATTATCTAACGAATTTTTTTTTTAACAACTCCAAACAACGGTCATATATTATATTATATATATATGTATACAACTATAATATAATACGTAATTTTCTCGCTTATGTATTAAACGTGCATTATATATAAAATAGAATACGTTTTATTTAACGCACAATCGCAGTGGTAAATATTGTAATATCGCAATATTCGCGTTCGCAAATTTTCTCGACTCATAAGGTCTGAATCCGTGCGGTATATTTTAGTGACACGAAAAAATTATACATTTTTGTATGGATAATGTTTCGAATAGACTAATTTTTCCAATATATGAACAAGTATTATGTACATAAGGACATTGCGTCCAATTTTTGATTCGGAAATTAACTCAATTCGATTGATAGCAACTGAAATAATTAATAGTCAGAGTTCTAAAGTATTTCTTTTCATATAAATGCTTCAAAGAAAATATTAGTTAATTTTAAAATACTAATCAATTGTCGATTGTTTAAAAGGATTGTTGGATTTTTAGTATAAATAGTATTATCAGGTGTTAATACAAAATGTTAAAGACATATTATAGAATAACTATACCCTAACTACCGCTACTGTTATCGCATAAAAAACGTTTGAAAATCGTTTTTAACAATCAATTTGATTTTATTATTTTAATTTTTAAAGTTAAATAGTTAAAAATATGGTAAGTGCCTATTGTGTGCAAACTATAAATGAATACACCAGAAATTTAAACAATTCTACGTAAAATAAAAATAAAAAAAAAAACGGAAAATATCAAAATGTTGTAATTAACGAGACAAAAAAGCCAATATATTTAAGCAAAATAAAAAAAAATCTTCAAATGCAGCGAGTTCCGGGTCCTATAACCGTAAAACGCTTGGCTCAAAATCTCGGTATTCGCCATTGAGTAAAAAGATAGATTTTCGGGGTTATAATATTTTCGTGTCTGTTTGTGTGTGTACTGCGCTTAGTGAATAATGTGAAAAAAATAACGAAATATCCGTTTGTTAACGCGCCGCCACCGTCGCAGCGGTACATAATCACAAGTTGGACTAATTTCAACGATTATACAAACTTATACGTAGGTATATATATATATATTTATATTATCCTAATTATTTACAAGAGCACTAATCGATATAATATACAATGATAATCCAATGTTTTTTTCGTCGAAAAACTATGAACTTTTTTTTTTCTTTCCCGTTTAGTAAATATATAGATACTCGACTTTTTTTTACCCCGTTCGCGCATTAAACCGTATAAATACATTGCAGTAGTTGTCCAACAACAATAATAAATAATGATATCTAACAATACCAGTGCTGAGAGCCGTATCAATAATACAGGAATAGGGGGGGGGGCTAAAGCATTGCTATAGGTAAAACATTTTGACGAAAAAAGATTAATGTATAATATAATCTGTAAGTATAGATTTCAATAATTTAAGTGTTTTAAATTCCTCGTAGAACAATAAAAAAAATGGTTTCTCGTTGTACCGCTGAATATAAATTATATAATAACTCATACAAAATCAAACTTTTTTTTTCTATGAAAGTAGGGCCTTCAAAATGGACGAGACGTTTAAATGTTTATCTTTGGCCCCAGGAAAGAAGTGCTTCAGTAAATTTTTGAAATTTGTTTATATAATTTTGTCATGAGTATTTTTTTCCACCCAATATTTGTCGTAAAAAATGGTATACCTAAATAAATGTATATTATATATTTTCCGGGGCTTTATTATCCTCAATTCCTAATAATAGTTACCAAAGTGGGTAGAAATCAATTATTGGATTTTTAAGCAAGCGGAACGATCGGAAAATTTTTAACTGCCGATCTATTTATAATCTGTAACACTGCCGTTTATAAACATATACTTTTATAACTAATAATTTATGAGTATAATTAAAGTTCTAGTTTCGCCCCCTCCCCTCCCCCTTGAAAAATGAGTTGAATACGCCCCTAATTTAATTATTACCTATATCATTCAGCAATTTTCGAAATTTAATTTGCTTGTATTGAAAACTATGCGAAATTGATACTTAAGCGCTTCTCCCTGGGACCAAAGGTATACAGGAAAAAAAAAAACAAAAAAATGCTTATATGACGAGGTAATAATATTATTACGAGAAGTGTATGCATAATCGGGACCACAATTTTCGCCGCCAACAAGGTGTAGGACAAAGTATGAGTAATGCACACGTAACTGGTGCAGCTATCGTACCACGTTTTCACGGCATTGCTAAAATGCATTTTGAACAGTTAAACATTTTATTTTTCTGCTTTCCGAATTCGTGGAAGTTTTTTTACCATACAAATACATTGCGCACGCACGCGGCTTTCGTCCCGACCAGTATTTTGTATTTTTTTATTTAATTCCACGATTTAAACACATACTATTATATTATATTAAAGTAACGACATTCGATTCACAGTGTATTATACTAGAATATCTAAAAAGTGATCGCACGTGTATCGCGAAGGATTTTTATCATTAAATTAATACGACTGAATAATGATTAGGTCGTAGGTATACAGTCATATATATATAAAAAAGAAAGTGTTTTTATTTATTCATGTTTTCGTGGACATAAATCACAAATAATATTCCATTTCGCCGAGACTCGTTTCAGAGACGCCCGGCACACCCGGTCGCTGCACCGGTTATCGAGGATAATTATTATTTTTTTTTTTTCTATTGAGAAGCGTATAAAAACAAATTTAACGTACCTAATACCTATATTAAAATAACCGCACACTAGAATCAATTTTTTGAACTGCGCGGAAGGTACATGATATTGACAGTTAAAAAAGTATTTAAAAATATGTATTTATACTTTTAAAATTCAATTCCCAAAACCATCATACTCTGTTTGGAATACATAACACAGTTTAATAGAAAATTGACGGAGGTGTAACAGATAAAACGTGGGTCACAAACAGTTCCGGTAAACGGCTTTTATTGAATAAGTACCTAGTTTATCGTAATAAAATCTGAAATCATGTTATTTAGAAAACATGATAGTATACGAAACAGAAAAATTGGATAGATATTATTCATAATAAGTAAATTCGAGGGGCGAAATATTGCATAATATTATTACAGAATCTATAGGGGATTTATTAATTTAAAAAACTTTTTTTTTAAATAATTGTAGTATTTTACTAGAGGACATGCCTCTCTTTTGCCCACTTCCCCCAAACTGGCATTTTTTTATTTGCTTTAAATGTCTAGGTTGTCAATTTAAATAAACATCTATTCCTGCGAATTTACTGATTTTAAAAAAGAATATATTATATAGTTTCGAATTTATTAAAAAATAGACAATACGGTTCACAGATTCTGATTAATTCGCCGTTCGAAGTGTTTACGTGCGTCTTTAAAATGTGTAGGCAGAAATTACTGGTAAGCATGTTTTGAAGTGCATAATGCATAATACAGTATAAGCGACTAATTACTATTTGTATATTGTATGAGTTATAAGCTACCGAACCACAATAATTGGTATCATCGGTTTTTTTAATTCATCAAACGCGCGGTCATATTATACTTAACGAGAAAAGTGCGTTGTTGCAGATATGATGCACACGGCCAATTTATTAAACGGATGACAAAAACGACTATGTGTAGTTTTGTTTTTGCAGATGACGCGCGATGTTTAGGACACACATTGCGATTCACGCTGCAAAACAATCATACACGATCGTTGATTTATTTCATACAAATAAAATAATAGTATAGTAATAATTAAGGTTAGAATTTAGCTGTAGAAATTGTTTTATACATTGTACTCCAGCACATGACTTATCAAAAACAAAATTCGATTCATATATCATAGACTTTAAATATAAAATTTGATGTTCTATTTTATTACGATTTTCAAGAAAAAATCGGTAAATATTCGTAAAAAACAAGAAGCATTTTTAAGGTATACAATTATTTGTTTGTAAAATTTTAAAAAAATATGATCAATAATTTAATTGATCATTTTATTTAATGCATTTTTGTAGGTTTTAGGAACTCATTTTCTTAGCTTTAGTGATAATATTTCGTATACCTACTATATAATATAATCTTCTTCTTCTAAGGTTTACTAGGCTCTTAGGGCAATCCCATCTCATAACCAAGCCTCCTTGTCTAGCGCTAGATTTCCCCAGTTAGACCCTTTTTCCAAACGTTCGACATCTTTTTTATAACGTCGTCCTAATACTCCGCAAAAATTTTCTTTCAAAAAAAGTGAAGTTATTTTCATCCTTTATTCTAAGAGGCTAAGTTTCAAATCCATATAGTATAACTGGTCATATTAGGGATACATATAGCTGTTTTCATTCTACATGACATTACTCGTGAATTCAGAAATTTAATTCCGTTATTGAACTCTTTTTGTAGTATAATACCGCGATAAATAAAAATCGCTAGAGTGAAAAGTCAATATTTAAAGTTTTCCGTATAGATGTGCATTATGATTTAATGTACACAAATAAAATAATAGTATAATAATAATGTACATACGCTAAATAGCAAACGTGTGTGGCCTTCGGAGATAAAAAAAATATACGCATACCGGTGACATTGAGCTCTCAGAGAGACGAATTATTACAGTTTTCTATCAAAAATCTGCTCGTTTGTTAGCATTATAATATTATTATAAAAACTCAATATTTTAAAAGTTAATTGTACAAAAAAAAGGATCGGGTAATTAAATAACGCATATTACAAGTGTGTATGGGTGTGAGTAATAGACTCGGTAAATTATAGTCGGAAATCGTGGGAAGGGGAGGGAATTAGTTACAGTAAAAAATGAATGCTTAAGTATTGAACAAACATTGTTATATCGACAAATCATATCACGCTAACATATTTGTTACTTGCTTATATATTTAATTGATAAATGTTCATAATCAAAATTATTAATTACTGTAGTTAGTTGAGATTGACGTTTCTAGAATTTCCAAAAGGAGGGGAAAGCGATTATTATGCTAATATGTATAAATATATATAAAGAAAAAACAAATACAAAAATAAAATATCACCGGTAAGGTTGGAAAAACGTCACATCTTTTAAGATTCTACAAGAGAAATCGGAGCATTATCTAACTTTAAATAAGTCCAAAGTGTTTTCAAAAAAAAAAAAAAAAAAACAACTTTATTTTTGAAAAAGTGATTGGAATTTCGAAGAAAGGTTCAAATAGTAATATAACTTATTTGGCAACCAAAACGAGTATCTCTCTCTCTCTTTCTCTTCCGGTATTCAACTTTAAAGTTGGTTTTGCAGTCCTCATCATTTCACTATTTTCTATCACCAGCTAGCCCAACTAATTTTAGTTATCTTTAGGTTGTCAGTCCCGCATCAGAAATCATCTTTTCAAGACTAGTATAATATTATTTTGTATCTATCAATTCAACAATAAATACAGATATTATACTAATAAAAAAAAGCTCAACTGCTCAAGTAGCGATCCCCTTCTACTGTAAATGCACTAATGAATGAAAAATACTATTATACCAGCGTCGAGAAAAATATAGGACCCCTCCTCGAAACGCGTTTATACTTCGCATGCCGTTCAATAAAATTTCGTATATGTTTACAGTATAACCATGCTATTGTATACAGGGTGTCCCACGAAGAAATGATCATTGAAATATCTTCAAAAGTATTAACTTTTACGGATTTTTTTTCGACAATTTAAATAAATTTTAGTAAAAAGTAACTCTCAAATGTTACATTACCATTATTTGTTGTCATCTTTATTTTTATTTTTAGGGGTGAATCGAATACCTACTTTTGATTTTTAAATGGCCATCAATATTAATCATTTCATAAACAGACGGAACGTAGGTTTAAATACATTTAGGTGTTGACAATTTAGATTTTTGTTAATCCGTGACCAGATATTCCACTTTTAAGTTTGAGTTGGTGGATAATAGTGGACCATCATTTGTATGACAACTGATGATACAACTAGTGCTCGGTGTATGAATAGCCCTTTTGCTCTCCCTCTATACGAACTTAAAAGTAGAACATTTCGTTAAAAAGTGAATAGAAATCAAAAATGTCAACACCAAAATGTATTTAAATTGTTATACAATTAGTTTTAAATATTCCTCCGTCTATCTATGGAATTTTAAAAATAGGTTACCATATGAAAATTGAAACTAAGTAGTCGGTTCACCCCCAAAAACAATGGTGAAAAAAAATGATAACATTTTAGAGCTACTTGTTTATTCAATTGTCAAAAATAAAAAATAAATAAAAACACTTTTTAAGATATCGCAAAAAATCATATCTTCGTGGGACACCCTGTATTATATTTTCATGTTGTTTACGACGATGTTTATTATTTTTTATTGGACCATATCGTCACTATATCGACAATACGACAAACCGGTGCAGTAGCAACAGTATCGGTTATGGTTAACATAAACGCACACTCGAATGAGGAAAAACATTTGCCGAACGTGTTTGTATGTGATACGAGATTATAGATTATAATATTATTGTTATTAAACAAATACTTTTATTATAATGTCGTCCATCGACGAACTCGATATATTAAGTAAATCAGCGGTAAAATTAATTGATTTGCAACGGTTATAATATATCGACGGTAAAAGTAATAGATTTGAGCTGGTTTTTTTTCGTCAAACCAAAAAGTTTGCGATTAATAATCGGAGATGTAAAAACTTTTATTATCGTTTTGATACCCGTGCGGCCGTGCCCTTTTGGTGCGACGCACACCAAAGTGTTGTGGCGGTGGCACACTGGTGTGGCGTAGCTATGATAATATAACATAACATAGATATTAGAAAAAACCATGAACATACAAATAATATAATAGTTTATTTTAAATATATCAAGTTCTAATGAACCAAATGTAACGATTATTGCTAAATGACAATAATTGTAATGTATAGGTTAGACTTGAGTTAACATTAGTAAGTAGTAGTTAACATTAGTAAGAGATTGATGCGAGTTACTTCACTCAGCCCCCACCCTAGAATAAATTAGTATTTTCAACCTGAACATGCCCCACGAAGGGAAAAAATAATTTTAACACATTATTACTTAACTATATTCATGAATAAACGATGGCAGCAGCGGGGAAATATTGTGAAAACAGATCTCTCATTGCTGTCGGTGTGAAACAGGAAAAAAATATGAATCCAAATTACCATATATGGATCAAAACAAATAAAAATTCAGAATATTTCGGAACCTTTTCAGTAGTACATGATCTTGCTTTGTATCCTGAAAAATCAGTAGCTTTCACAGAATGTCGTAAAACTCTTTTAAAATCCTTTGGTCATATGGTACAAAACAGACTAGAAAAGACATAAGGCAGTCAATTAATTAATTACATTAGTCAATTATAGTCGGATGGCGACGGGCTGCGGATCTTCTAAACTCCTGGTACCGTTTTTCAATTTAAAAACGTAAAAATTAAATATCATAATCAAATACGCAATCATTGCTCCCGCACCGTTCAAATGATATTTTAATACGATTATTACCTAATGGTTTTAAAGGTTGGAAACAAAAGTTTTAAAAGAGAAGTTTTACTGTATACTTAAGAAAACCGATTTTTGATTTTTCAATTATTTGGGCCAATAATTAAGACAAAAGAGTGTGGAAAAAAAAAGAGAGAGAAACGGAAAGAACGCATATATAATATAGGCTCGTTGTTGTCATAGTTTCCCGTGCGAAATGCTTAACAAAAAAAATCAACAACCTCGGCGTTCCGCGCGATTTCTCTCGTCGAGTATTATTTTGACATTGTCGTACTCAAAATATAATAAAAGGGAGCGAAAACAATAGGCACTCGTCGTACCAGCACATATGACTTCGGGGACGCATATAAGTGGAAAGGGGAGCTCGGGGGTAAATAGGCTGAAAAAAACAATAATTATTGACTGGAAATACACAAACACTAACATATATAAGTTTTTTTTTATTAATCAATAACAAAAAAAAAAAAAATGTAAAACAAAGAGAAAAATATAATATATTAAAACCATATAACATAATAATATTTTAAAATGTATAAACTAACGCTAAAACTGCAGAATATTATAATATTGTATGTTTTTATATCACCTATACAAATAAATTATGTTTAAATAATAAAAATAAAAAATATATATCATTATAATATATACTGTACTAGTTTTAAATAACTAAAAATACACTATATCTTATTATATAGCAATATTGTAAAATTTTAGACTAGAAAAAACTACTAAATAGGTAAAAAAAAGTGATATCTTAAATTAATATTTAAAAAAAAAAAAAAAAAAACAAACAAACAATAAACGTACAAAATTATATAATTGTACAGTACATTAGAAAAATTTTTTTTAAAAAAAAAAAAATATATATATATATATATATATACAAAATAATTTTCAAACTCTGTATTGAGCCAAAGGCAGTTTTTTCCATATATAAATCTTAAACAAATATATTTTTTTTTTTTCAATTAGGTATATAATAGTAAAAAAATAATTGTTATTTTAAAAAAAAATTTGTATATATATTTTTTTTTTTTATATAAAAGGCCAAAAAGAATATAAAATATTTATATCATATTATAGGTACGCGTAAGTATGGATATTATATAATTTATTATACATTTTAAAATCTACTTTTATGTAACGGGTAACATTTAACCGATATTATTATTATACATATATAGGTAATATATTAGGAATTTCGTTAGGTAACTATTTTTTTTCCTTTCATTTATAATAATAATAATAATTAAAAAAAAAAAAATTAAAAATTTTGGCATGGCGTGGTTCACATCTATAATCCTATAAAATATTAAATATATATATAGGTACATGTGTGTACGTATATACAAATTATACAGTATAGGATCTAGTTTGTTTTTCACAGGTAACTCGTTAGTTATCAAGTTTTAGGTATGTGTTTTTTGGGTAAGTATATATTTTATTATAAAAATACGACATAATTATTGTTATTATCATTATTATTATTATAGGCACGTGGACATCACAGTGTTTTGCAGCTAGAAGAAAATTTAATAAAAACGAAAAAAAAAAAGTAAATATTATAATATAGAAAAGAATATATTTAAGAAAAACAAAAAAATAAAAACCTAACCGATTTTTGGCAGTATAGTACCGCACATATTATTACATAAGTAATATTATATTATTATCGCAGACTTTTGAATCCATAATAACGTTGTTGTTATTATCGTAATAGTACATAATGTTTTAATAATAATATATCGTTAATTTTATTTTACGGATCGGAGAAAAGGAACGACCAAGACGACCAAGACGGGCCGCGGCACCGAGAAAGTCCAGAAAACGTCGCGCGAAATACCAATATACGTATTATAATAACCATACAAATTAAATGTTAGGAAAACTTTTCAAAACTAAACCGATATGAGAAACTAAGCCGTGTGCAGCTCTCAAGTCACTGAATTTAACACTCTCGGATTTCCGGGCAATAGAAAAAAAAATTAATACCGTTTCCGATCGTTACGCGATTATAAATAATATTATTTGTGATTTGTATACGAAGGCCGTCGGTTTAATCGTTCAGGCCGCGGTTTACGATGTGGGAACGAGAGAGACGTTGACGTATACGTAGGTTCGTGACATAATAATAAAATAACACGCGCGTGGGAAATATAGGTGTCTCCGAAAGTCGTAATAATAGGTACGGGCCTTGCGACTATCACTAGAAAGAAAAAAAAAAAAACACTACGCAGACTGCACGCGCGCTGTTTCTCTTTTCACAGACGGAAATTATTTTATAAAATTTCGGTTGTTCGCGGCAACGTTCGGCCGCAAAAAATAAAAGAAGCGCCGTGCCATGGTGACACGGTTTTTTTTTTTAAAAACGCTTTCTGAGTAGACATCTACGTAAAAAAATAATCCCGACCGACAACGGCGAAGATGATAGCAATATAACAAGAAACGGCGTAAAGACAAAACCCCGAATGTTGCACATTATTATGCCGCAGTGTACTGCTCTGCCGACGATAAATCGTTCCCTCCGATCCTCCGCGAGTTTATCAATTATTATTATTATTAATTTTTTTTTTTTTTTTTTTTAATAGTATGTACAAGAACAAAAAATACAAGAGAACAAGTACAAAACGAACAATTATCTCCGAAACGATAGGTATAATAAAAATTGAACACTCGTGGCGTATGCATATGTATATATCATGTACAAAACTAATAGGGAGTGAGAGAGAGGGGCAGGGCGAGGGAGGGGAATAATAATGCAGCAACGTTTTTAAAACGATTTGTATATTTGTATATAGATAAAAAGAATTTTGTACGAGTAGAAAAATAAATAAATAGATTTTTTTTATTTTCAAAAAACTAATTTATATGTTAATGTCTTATATTTACACGAGTATAGTATAAAAATATAATATAACTGCACGGTCAAACACGTAAGATTTGTATTAATATTTTCAATTTTCAATGGATGTGCGGTGTAAATCCAAAAAATTTAAAAACACCGTTTAAAACGAAATAATATTAAAATTTTACCTAATTAAGTAGTTCCAATGTTTAATGGCTGTTATAATATAATATACACCTAATATAGATATTATTTTATTCTGTTTTTTATGTTATAATAATTATTATATTATATTGATGCTCTGTAGTTTTTATATAGGAGATTAAATAATATATTAATATTATTTGTTTGCGAAATCTCGCAAAACGATACATTTAAATAAACGATTTATTTATTTAATTTTTTTAATATGAAACAATAACAAAATATAACATACTAAAATAATAATTATATGTATAATATTAATATATATATATGTTATATATATATATATATTAATATAAAAACAGGTCGGAAAATATCCCTGTTTAATACCAAAAAGGGCGAGAGGAGATGGATATTGAACCGATTTTTCAACGACGCCAAATCTCTTGAAATCTGAAAACAAATCAAATACGTCGTTTTAATTAACACGTTACTAAACTCCGACGCTGTATTTTAGATAAAAAAATATCGACAAGTAGGTATCTATAATAATAGGCATACGTAATAAACGAACGTACATCGCGAATCGTGCAGATCGGCTCCACAATAACGTAGGAGCAGTGATTTTTTTTGGAATCACGTTTTTTTTTTTTTTTATTTACATCATGTACATTTATACACTCTCAACTACCCACAAACCGTAAAACTTAACCTAGATACGATAGGTATATATGTACATAAAATATATAAAACAGAACACAAAAATACACATAATAATAATAATAATAACATATTACGAGTTTTAGATTCTGAGTGGAGCGAAGAAGCTTATGGTTTTACAAAGATGTTTTTATTTTACCAGAAAACTTGCTCGGATTTCTAAGTGTAGCACCTTTTCTGAAAGGAAATCGACATGAGAAGGTACTTTAAAAAGGTAATTTTTCGATTTTCTCTGGAGTTTTCACAGCAAATGTGAAAAACCAGGATAAAACATGGGAAAACCGGGATAAACGTAGGAAAACTGGAAAATCGGTACAAAATAAATAAATATTATTAAAGAAAATATATAGAGACTATTTAATTATTTTACCTTAATATGGCATATACATTGTTGACAAAGCATTACTATCAACTGAACTCCGCTCAGAATCGTTTTTTCGTAAGCAATGGTTTATCGTTGCTTACAGATATAAATTCAATTCCCGTCTGTATCCTACCTTCCCAACTTTCCACCTACACCAGTGGCTGCACCCGTCCCCATTATCTTACCCATTTTTTTTTTTTTTACATTTCCCAATAATTATCGCTTAACCCAACCTAACCTGTATAACTTTAAACTGTTATAAATCATGTTATTTTCACACAATATACACGAGATACAACGGAACAATATAATAATATGTAGGCACGTTGTACAAACAACTTTTGATATATAATAGAAATATACATATTCATAATATGTATATATATTACCATGCTTCATTTCTTCGCCCATATACACCCACCCTCCCTACACCCCTTCCTCAAATGTGAACACGTGCAGTCGCATGATTCGGTCACCCACCGTGGGCGCCGCTGACCCGATCGTACATAATATAATTATATTATACTTAATAGAATATCACGAAAGTCGCGCGATATCTTTCGCTCTCGTGCAAACTGCACGTGGTAAATGTTCAACAAGTGGTCGCCGCCGCGTGCAGTCGAACGATATTAATTTTGTGTTACATAAATACAATTGTCCACATTTCGGTTCGCCGCGGAGAGAAGGGGTGCGCAGGGGAACACCGATTTTTATTTCTATATTAAATATTTTATCGTGCCCTAAAAATTGATTAATATACATATTTTTAATTGTTAATTTCGTCGAAGAACCGTGTACAGGTATTACTGCGGGTTTGCGAATTATTCGACGGTTTTCTAAGGGGCGAAACCTCCCACGAGGTTTAGAACGCGATTTTTTTTCCTATGTGTATTCGAGTATGTTTTTTAACCAAGCGCTAGTTATAATAGCCGACGACGTCGTCTAGCTGGTTTATGTTGGGAAGCGGCCCGGTCGCCGGCAATTTATAGTGTTAACGCGTTATTGTGTTTTATCCCGCGAACGCTATTGAATCGCTCGCCTATTAATATAGGTTTATGTATATAGGTGTACGTGTACACTATTTGATTGTATTGTATTGGCGGTGTGTGTGTGTGTTTAGATTTTTAAATATACGTGGTCACACCCGTTTTGTACGTGTATAGAGCAGAAGGAGGAGGATCGCGGCGTGTGTGGGAAAATCCGGGGATCGACGCGACTTGCCCGGCGAGCTCTCGAGGGGTGCGCGCGTTCGTAAAAACCGAAAACCTATCGTAGGGGGTCCATGGGAATTTCGGACGTAAAAAACAAGGGGCGGCCGGCACACAAAAGTGCACACGCAAAGGTTGTGCGAACGCGCGCTATTATTATTATAATAGAAAAATGTGTAACAGGTTAAGGCGAATATACGTACACATAGTATTATAATGCGCAATGAAAAAAATTTGCACCGCTCGTCCGGGTTGACTATATTATAGTTCCACTGTTATTGTACTACACGGGGACAGAGTCGAACACCTGATGGAATCTTTTGTAATTACAATAATAATAATAATAATAATGTTTGCGAAACGACGAAAAGCTATATAGGTACTCTATACAGCAGCGTATAGTACACAAACAAACCGATCGTGGTCATTTTGCCCACCCGCAACGATTATTTTTATCCGTAATAATATATTAAATGTTTCGAGTTTGAATGTACTTTTCGGTACTTTTGACCGTAGACTTATAGAACTATATAGACAGTCGACTGTACGGTAGAGCCTTATAAGAGGAGGTATGAAAGCAGCCGTAAACTATATAATAATGCAAATCATATTTATGATTAATTATGGGACAATATATAAATAGGAAAAAATGTGGGATTAATTTGGAACAAAAGTTTTCATATGACCCTATATCCGCGATAAAAAGCGAATGGACCCGGTGACTATGGTGAGAAATTCTGTACCAAGGCTACTCTGAAGGCGTGTGCAGAACGATTAAATCGTAAATCGTAATTCGTAAATCAACAGGAAAATTTGGAAATGATACCAAATGGTACGGAAGCGGAACACAGTACCAAAACAAAAACATAAAAATACACAAATATTGTAATTTCGTACTATTTCTTGTCACCCGTCTATGCTCAGTGACCCAGTCTGCGAATACTTTTGTTTTTTATCGACCGCTCGACGCATAATACGCGGCTGCCGATTTTCCAGATTTGGGTAATCGTTCTACTTATATTATGCTAGTCGGTTATCTAACAGTTACATAAATCCAAGGTATTTGCATGAGAAAAATTTTTTAAAAAAATACAATTTCGGGGGTCCCCGCAGTGCTACGTCCCCGCGCGTATACCGGCGAATCTCGGGACGGCGCACACTTGCGGATGAAATATAATATCAAGTTAGTAATAATGTCCCGCGAACTGCATATAGCGACCACTGATAGCCGACTTTCACGGTCTTATCAATACTGTTGTTATACGCGCGTATATTACGGCAGCTCGAACTGACTTTTACAGCAAATGGGGGCAAATGTTACGTGCGCGACGCGGTTATATAATGCCGGTTTATAATACATTGTGTTCGGCGTACGTTATAGCGGCGGTAACACGGTCGTTGTATGCACACGGGTTATGATAACCGCGCAGATTATAGAAAAAAAAAAAAAAACATAATGTAAACATTTGTGGACCCGTTAGTGTGGTGAATAATACGGCGCCACGCGAGACTCGAACGAATACGTATTTATAACGACGAATAAAATAAAATGCATAATATATATAAACAATATATCGGGAGTCGGTCGTCTACTAGAAAATAATTTACCTCTGTGTACACTCGTAACCTAACCAATCTCCGGCGAAGAGAACTACGCGCGCGGCGGACCCCGGCGGGCACACACGGAGCCCGCCGAAACTCGTGTTTGGCCGCGGAGACGAGATTTTATATTTTATCGCGACGGCGGATAATAATATAATTGTTATTATTATTATTATTATTATTACACGGGTTTTTTTTTTTTTTCATCGGCGCGACGGAAACCCGGCGAATTTTTCGAGTGTACCCATATAATACTATACCTTCTTGTATTGTAGGTATACGTAGTGTTTCGTAACGTGCGCGCCTGGGAACAGCGTTATTTTGTAGTATTATTATTATTATTATTATGTAACGACGACCGACGACGACAACGCCGTTTTCCATCTCGTTCGCATAATAATACATGTATATAATACAATATTATGTACACTCGACCCAGAAACACACACACACACACACACACAGACACGCATACACGCATAGAGAGAGAGAAAACAATGCGTACGAGACGACGGCTGTGGTCATTCGCAGAGATGTGCTCGAATCGGCAAAATTGGCAAAACAAAACGTAGCGGAACGTTATTGTTTATAATGGTGAAAAAAGAAAACCCAAAAATCGTGTCCGCTGCTCTTTATACCTCCTCTACCCTTTCCATGACTCCCCAATATACCTTTCCGTCGTGTAAAAGGTAATAATTTATAAATCGATATAATATAATAATTGCGGAGTATACAAAAATCCTGACCGACTTCTAGTAAATAGGTATTGAATTTAATTATTTGAATTTAAAAAAAATAATAATAATAATAATAACAGTAATACCAAAAACGCAAACGATAAAACGATGGTCGACCGAGGTTTATAAAACACTATGATTGAAAGTATATAGTATATAGTACAAGTATATAGTATATAGTATATAGTATATATAAGTATATAGTCGCCCCAAAACGATTTTAAGAAAAAACAGCGTTAGTGTATGATATTTTTAATGTTTCCGAACGGCCGCGTATCATAATAATTACCTGGCAGTTTGATTTTTCTAAAAAACGTTCCTAAGTGCTCATCAAAACAACATCATTCTCTTTCATTTTTATAATAGATATTTTTGTTCTAAAATCTAGTTTGGAGTGACTTATTTAAGAGTCGAAGTAATCACGTTTATCATACTGAGCGTAGCAGCGTAATATACAGTATAACGTTTAAAAAATAATAATAACGATATCCGGTATCTCGAGCAGTGCATTTTGATAACGGGAAATAAAAGGCACACTGCCCCAGTGGCACACTAAGGGGTCTTCAGTCTTGTAAATTGGTCGCGTTAAAATAAAAATATCATATACAAACTGTTGAATACTAAAAACTAGTTGCACTAACAAAATCATTGCACATTTGCATCACTTGTAAGTACCAATAACCTACTGAAATCAGGTACCCTACGTATATTTTGTACAACAACTTCAAGAAAAAGGCTTTACCCAGTTACCCTATACATTATAACATGCCTATAATATTATTACGGTGGCTTCATTATATTATATAATTTTCATTCAAGTACAATAATATGTTTACTATATGAGCCCCCTTCCTCCCCCCCCCACTCCGATTCGAGCACTTTAATGTGTGTATGCGATATAGTTTTTTGCGAACACTAAATAACCGGCCCCGGGAGAGTATATTATAATATTATTATTTTACTATTATTAGTTTACGGCCGTCATAACGTCCGCGATATTATTATATTATTATTATTGTGCGGTGGTGTACGCGCGTTAGAAAAAAAAAAAAAAACACGACACGATGTAACGGTCAAAGGTCGGCGCAATATTGTCGGGGGTGGGGAGGGGCCTGGTTGTGGGCGAACGCCGGTTCTATGTGTACACGCCAGCCCGGGAGATTCGGTGCGCGTTACACGAGCGCTTTTCCGCGCGACCGGCCGGTTAATACCACTGTATACCATAATATACCGCGCGCGGTCACGCCACGGCGCCAACCCGTCCGTAATCTCACATCGCCGCACGCGCATTTCCCGTTTTATCTCATAATAATAATAATATTTGAGAATACAATAACATTATGTTATTCACACTGATATCTCATAATTACATATATATTACATGATATTGGCGAATACATAATATATTTGCCAATAATAAAATTCATGGCGTAAAAAAAAAACACGCGAAACCCGATCACGAATTTCGCAGAATATTCCGTATTGGATTTTTAAATTGTACGGCTCGTATAAACCGTACAATATTATTATATTATATTATAATCGTGTATATATATTGTAGGCCCGCGATTTGTTTTATTATAATATAATTATTGTTGGTTTTAGTTTATGGCCAGAGTTATAGGTCAAGGCGGATCTTGACGTAACTCATCATTATTGAACCGATGATACGCGAACACATCGTATTCACTCAATTTTTTTTTTTTTTTTTACCGATAACGCGTTAATGTGTGTATGTCTGTGTGTATGTGTGGGTGTGTGTGCTTGTGTTTGTGTGTGTATAATATGTGCGAGAACATGTATAGTGCAATATGTATCAATATTGGTATTTGAGTTTTTTTTTTCGTGGAAATTACACCCTAAATAAAATATTATTCTTAATTTAGCAAATTAAATACTGTCACTGACGAGATGGCTACAAGTTTAAGAAAAATTTGGTATCATTCCGGTAACTACCCTTTTTTTTTTTAGACTTTTACTCATGTACAAACCAGTGCTTTTGTAAGTCATAGGCTTTTGGGGAAAGATTAATCAATATTTTTGGGAACAGGCATCTAGATCTTTCTGTCCCCCACCCCGGGTAATTGCACCTGTATGTTCGAGACAATACTGGCGACTCCGCGTGGAGACTTGCAGGAAACAAACGCGCAATCGTTGCGTGCGCCCGCGCCTAACCGTGAAAATCAGTCGAGTGATGTATTGTGTTACGTGTAATTGTGTAATTTTTAATGAGAGTCACCTATTTTTTTTTTTTTTTATGCACCGTCGAGTTGAAAATATCGATCAATATCCTCGCACAAATCGCACATAATGATTATAGTTTACGAACAAGTCAATCCTCAACGGTGGGTCACCGCACACCAAGAAAGTATAACCCCCCCCCCATCTGCTAGAAATAACCCCGAAACTTTAATACATCATATAGAATTCGAGGATTCTAAATAGAATATGCTTATGAATACTGTAAAGATAATAACAATTAATAATAACAATGTAATATTTACCATGTGTGGTTCGTTCTCACTATTGCAAGTGCGGATAGGCGTCGAAATGTTTATTGAGCTCCCGGTGGAGGTGTTCGGGCAAAACGCCCACATTGGTGAACAGTGACCTGAGTACATTGAGTTCTTCGCTGAGAAGCTCTATCCTCTTCTGCAACCGCTCGTTTTCTTTGACCAACAGCTTGACCTTTTCCTCGGTCTCTCGGCTGCGGATCTTCGCTTTTTCCCGACTCTTGCGTACGGCTATGTTGTTCCGTTCCCGTCTCCTCTTGTACTCATCGGTGTTCTTGTCCACCGACTTGTTGCTTCCGGAGCTCGACTTCCGGTGGTGGTTGTGGTGAGCCGACTTGAGGTGAGGGCCGCCGCCACCGCCACCACTGGATACCGGGGACGTCTGAAACGCACCCCCTTGACCATTGCTAAGGTACTGTTGTTGCTGTTGCTGTTGTTGCTGCTGTTGCTGCTGTTGATTCCGGAACTCGACGGATTCTGGAGGTTCCTCTTTGATAGGACCACCCGCAGAAGCGGGCGTACTCTCGTAGTGAACGGGTTGTGGCATATACGCCAGCGTGGTGCGTGAATTGAAACCGTTCTGGGACACGCCGTTCCGGCCACCGCCACCGCCGCCGCCCCCGGTGCCATTAGGTAACTTTACCTGACCCTGTTGCAGGATTTCCGTGAACAGACCTTCGCTAAACTGGCTGTCGTCGATGAGGTTCTGCAGGTCGAGAGATATCTCGGGCGTGGACAGTTCCGATATGTCGTACCTGTTCTTGAGCTGCCCGAGCTGCGCCTTTTTGGCGACCATCGCCAATTCCTGTTGGCTGAGCTGCTGGTGGTGCGGCTGGTGAGCGTGCGGCTGCGGGGCCGTGTCGTACATTTGCGGTGAGTTCATATCCCACGTCTGTGTGGAGTGCGTATTGTACGCGTTAAGGGTGGCGGGTAAGTGCGCGTTGCCGGGCGATGATACGCGTGTAACGGAGTTTGGATGGATCACCGGTGCGCCCCGAGTGCGCAACACTTACCGGTAAAAGTCACGGAGCGAACGAGACTTCGATCACCACCTATCGACGGCGATTTCGGAGGGTCTCCGGTGTCACCGGAAGAACGAGGCGTTTGCAATTGTCGAATGACGGAAGACGAAGGACGGCGAAGTAATCATCGTGTTCATCGCGCGGTGATGTGCAAAACTACTCGTAAATACGATGTGTTATAATAACGAAATATTCGTCGTTTACACGTTCATACAAATATATATAAAAACTATATTTGTTTGTTAAAACTCGGACGGATCCGAGAATAAAACACCACAATTAAAGAGACAAAACGTAATTTTTTTTTTTTAAAAAAAAATACAAATGTATAATAATTATTAACGGCCGTGGAAAGTTTACGGGGAAAAAAACGCTCGGAAAATACCTCGTATTTGGAACGCGACGCACAAATAATATTATTATACACGTAATATTCTAATATTACGTATTATAGTATAGTACGTATACGCGCGTAATATAAATATGTATTTTATTATTATCAAAAACGAAACAAAATAATATTCGGCCGACGACTGTACTAGAGCGTGTTCGCACCTACCGGACGCGTGTTTAGCGTGCGACTACCCCGGCGCAGTTTCGGTACCAGTTGCATGCACGGAGTAGTAATAGTAGTAGTAGTAGTAGTAGTAGTAGTAGTAGTAGTAGTAGTAGTAGTAGTAGTAGTACGACGCGACCGCGTTGGCATACGCACCGATTGAATTGCCGCCGCAGTGTCGCCTCCTTCTCCTCTTCCTCATCAGAGGCACGACCACCTCCGCCGCCGCCTCCTACATGCGCTATCCCCTCCCGCCACACCGCACCACGGGTTTTTAAGCCCTCTCCACGCGGGTCCTCCGCCGCACGTATAATAGGTATTATATTATTATATTATGACGTCCGCCGCGTTCTCTCTCGGCGGCGGCGTTCGTACTTGCGCGTAATAATAATCGGTGTGTATTTTGTCTTCCTTGTATAATAACAATAATTCTTTTTCTACGGGATTTTAACGGGGGTTTTTTTTTCTTCTGTACGTCTTCATCTCGTCACAATTCGTCATTATCATTTCGGGGCTTCACCGCCGTAATCGTTCCGATACCCAATAAAAAGTATACCTTTTTCTTTTTGCAAAAAACAATTTAATAATTGACACAAGACACGAATGCAATATTTCTCGAGTACAATAATTATATTATTATCGCTGATAATAATATAATATAAATCGCACATATAATATTATATCAATATGAATAAATATTAAATGTAGAGTTTTTTTGTCAAATAAAATACTAATCATCAGGTTTATACAAGAGCGTACGGGAATGTGCGTACGCATTATCAACGTGTAAATGAAAGTGCGGAAATGTGGGAAGTTGGGAAGGTATAGCATACCTACATAGAGTAATTTATGTTATATCTGTACGCAACGATAAATCATTGCTAATTACGAAATACAGTTCTACGCGAAATTTGGAAACACACAGAGTTACACGTGTTTTGAAATTCTTTGGTTTTAAAGATTTTCGTCAAAATTTGAAAATAAAACTCAAAAATAAAAACAACACAATGCTCAGCTTTCTTTTTCTACTAATAAGTACAAATTATAATATACCGAATCACGGACTAAATTTTCAATCATTTTGATAAGGTCAAAACAATTTAATACATACAACCAAACAAAAATTTAAGAAATTAGAAAATTTTAAATTTCTATAAATAGCTCCAAAATGTCCATCATATTTTTAAAATGTTACCACATCTAGAAGCTCTCAATGATTTTTTTTTTATTATAATAAAAAAAAACAATAATTATAATACTGGAACCGTTATCGCCGAACATTTTCCGTTTTTCATACTTTTTTCCCAATTATTAAAGAAAACTTCAAAAAAAAATTAACCAAATTTGTGCAAAATAATTTGAATATGTACATATTATTAGATAATAATCTTAATGATAAATATAATTTAAATAATTCATAAATTATCTTAATCTAGGTACTGTGTAATCAAAAAATAAAGGATGTAATCAAAACATTTGGATATCACATGGCAATCAACATAACATAAGATACTCATTATCTCGAAAAGTTTTAACTTTTTTCGGAATTTATTTTTCAGAACATTTTAGAAATAAGTAGCTTTAAAATTTTACATTACTCTTGTTTTTGTTACTCTTATTTTAGAAGGTTAAACCAATATCTACTTTTGATTTTCAAACGGCTATCTATCCAAATTAAAAATTAAATGAGCATTTAGTATTTATTTTAGTTTAAATCAATTTTTGGTGTTAAGGTTTTAATTTCCGTCAACTAGTGTCTTGTTGACAAGATATTCACTTTTAAAATTCTGCGAGGAGATAGTAGTGGTGAACCATTTGTGTAGCAGCACGGCGCGTGGAATTGTACATTTGTAATAGTGGTCCGCCACTTACCTCTATTTAAACTTAAAAGCATATCATTAACAATATTATTAATATATCATTCACGAATAGGCAGAAATCATTTCAACACCAAAATGTATTTATTTGAATACTCCGTCTATATATAATATCAATTATCCATAAATTTTCAGTATAGGTTGCCGTTTGATAATCAAAGGTAAGTAGTGGTAAGTAGGAATGTATATAAATTCTTAACGTCAAAAGAAATCATTTTGTAACCTGGCATAATATTAATTTTATCAATAAAATCGTAAGTTTTTTTTATAGAAGTATCAGTATTCATGTTTAGTTTTTCTTTTATGAGAGAGTCTAAATATTTAGTAAGATTATAGCTGGAGTAGTTTTAAAGTTAATTAATGGACGAATCGGATTATCTTGTTTATGTAATTTTATGAATGAAAGTATGGAGCCTCTATTTTGTAATCAGATTTTAATAATATTTTTTTTTGTACTTTAGGTACAATTTCTTTCGAATTTTTAATCAGTTTATTAATTTGTTTAGTGTAAATTATAGTTGGGTCATATGATAAGTTTTGAATATTATTATTATTTAGATTCATTAGATATTAGAAATATTAGATTTATCTACCGGAACTATTTCTGAATTGTTCGCTTTTAATTTATTCACTATGTTGTTAAGAGTTGTATTTTGTTGTTTAACTATACTATACTATATTGTTTAAATATTTTATCAAGCTAATTTTTGTAGCTTAGACTTATTGTAGTTTTGGTGCTGTTTGGTGATTCATCGACGATTTTGAAAATGTTATCACGTCTAGGTAAATCCAATATAAGTAAATATCAAGTTCCAAGTCTCTACGTGTATTTATAACCGAATTACAGCAAAAAAAAACTCCCAAAAATTAAAATTCTTTAAAAGCTCAAAAATGGCTCAAAAGTTTTGGAAATGATACCGTAATAAAGTAAATCAGAAAAATAACAAAAAAGGTATCTTGTGATTTTTCGATTATATCATTTTTTTTCTGCTAGAAACATCGTCTGTATTTTTATAAAATAATGAATTCATGAAATTGTATGTTTTCCAACATTTTTCCCTCTTAAGTGCTTTTATTTAAAAAATGACTGCTTTAAAGTAGTATCTAAACAACTTGAGCTTTCAGAAAAGTTGCTACAGATAAAAATTGGAGTAAGTTTACTAGGAAAAAAGAGGTCCAAAGACTAGAAAAAAAATTTAAAAAAATAATAAACAGCATTGTAAAACCAATGACTACCTCGTTACATAGTACGAAAGTGTTGAAATTTAAATTCTAATTTCGACTCGCAATAATACTATTATTATTTAAATATAGTATGCATAACAGTAAAATAATATCTTCGCTACGCTTGGAATATAAAATCTAAAAAAAACTAGTATTCTTAATAAAATATTGGCGTAAAAAACTGCCGCCCCTAGGCAACAGCTTACTTTACCTTACGCTAAATCCATCTCTGTATACTATACTTTATAATCAAAACTAGTACCTATATTAGCTTTGGTTTCTCTATTGTTGGATTATACTTATACCTACTACCAAGCATAATATTCTTTTATTACAAATTCGTTTTAATCGGCATGCATAAAAATATGGATGGTTCTATAAATTCTTTAGCGAAAGCTCTGCAGATGAATATGTTGTCTCCTCTGCCCATCTTTGAAGATTTATGAGGAGAGATAATGTGATCGATGAATAAAATTGTCAAAAATACAAAATGTATACTTTATTTTAAATAGTATCTTTTGGGAAATATTAGTTTTAGGAGGAGCATTGGTACCTATTAAAGAAGAGGGATTTCAGTTATATTTGAATTTTATCACCGACTTGCTTTCATCTATTTAAAATAAATTAATAAGATAAGTATACACTCACCCCATCAATAACAAAGTTTGGACTATCACTGATCTGCAGATGCCAAACCTGAAATCAAATATAAATTAATTATATAAATAACAGTTTCACAGTAAAATACTTTCTTCTCATATCTACTAATGACATGAAATTATATATAATATAAAATATATAATAATATAATATTTTATAAAAGATAGAAGTTTAATGTAATGTACGAACTAAAATACTAAAATGGTTACGTCTTGTAGTACATACTGTACTAATATTTAGACGAACCTATAAAAAACACATGTTGAGTGCGTTTAAAATTGTATAATATATTTTAAAAAATGAATGAAGTGACGTATGCAACAGTTTTGATAACTACTTTTCTGTAAATTATATTATACAAATTATTCTTATCAATAGTTAACGCTGAATTTAAACTATTATCATACCGTTTTGGTTGTTTTCTGTTAATATTCAAACGCCTAATGGATATACACTATAGTACTATACAATACTACTACGGTGAACATGGGCCACGGGCCCACGGCCAAAACGACGGACGGAAATAAACGGTACGCGAGTAGAAAGGGTAATTCAGTCGAGGATCATTTGCGTGGTTCTTCCATGAAAATTAAAAACCAGTACCAAAATTCAGATTCAGTCATTAAAATCAGTAGTTTAGCGAACAAACTGTTTTGGCAATATTATTTACTACAATTTTTTGTTAATTGAATGCACTTTTCGACAGTCAGGTTGTCAGTGATAATCAGTATATAATTAAAAAATACGTTTACAATACTGGTCATCCATTGGTAGAACAACCATTGGTTGTACAGCAAACACGTTTTGGCGATATTGTAATAGTAGCAAACTGCTAGTAAGATTATTATTAGGGTGAGAATTTAAATGCTCTAAAAAACAAGAAAAATAACTTAAAAAAATACAATTTAATGCACTTAAATAAAAAAAGGTTAAAAAATGCTATAAAAATCATTTTAAACGTTGAAAAAAAACTTGTTTTATTAGATATATTAATTTACTAAACAACAGCTAGTGCAAATAGTGAATTACGACTATATTATTAAAACTTGATAAATAGTTTATTGTTTTTTTTATTGCATGCAAAGTTCGGTTACAGCTGGCATTGTATTTATGTGGTACAATCGGTAAATCTATATTAAATTTTAAAAATAAAAAATATTAATTTTTTTTTCGTTTAGGAGGAAATCATAATCCGCACCCTAGTTATTATTATTATTAACTAATAACTTTTCAACTCTGAATAGTTTATTTTATTTTATTTTTGT